AAAATCATTAATATACTTACTCGGTTTTATTTTCTATAGAAATTTGTCGTTCTTCCATTCGACGTAGTTGATCCATAATGATTCTAAAATGAAATTTAATGCCTTTATTCGTGCACATAAATGACTATTTTTATTGTAATTATTTTTAAAACTTACTTTAGAGACTGCATTATTTCCTTTTCTTTTATCAATTTTTCTCTATGTGTGGACAGGCGATGGCTGCGTACATCATGAACAAATGATCCTGATTGTGTTTGTTTCCTGTTTATTTGTTGTGATAGTGGTTTGAATAATGGCTGGACTTTTTGCGTGAATGATTGTATAGATGCTGATGAAGACGAGCGTGATAATGTTTGTTTGCGTTGTACTGGTGTAATGTCTTGTGCGGATAATTGAGTGGTTACTGAAGGTGAATGTGATACAATGGATCTATGTTGTAATGGTGCTGATGGAGGAGGCATGTGTTTATTTGAGTGTTGTGATGAGAATGATGGTGATGGAACATGCAAGGATGATGATACTGGAGATTGTGAATGATACTTGGATGATGCTGAGGCTGCTTGTTTTTGTGTATTTTTGTGAAGTGTAGTTATGTTAGGTTTGTGTATGTGTTTTGTGCGGTATTTTTCGATGTCCTTGTTTAATAATTGCAATGCAGACGCTGTTTTCCCTTCGGTGTTCATTCCTTTTCCTCTTCCTCGTCCTCGCTCTTGACTCATCTTTAAAAAAACTCTCCGCACATGTTCTTCCATAATTAATGCATTACGTTACATTCATTGATCGTAAATTTAAACCCGCATATAAACTTGAATCGACAAGAAAAATCGTAAAACTATGTTCCGTTTTTGTTTGTACGTTGTAGTAAGAGTTTATGTATGGATTTAAAGGCCTTAGAGAGAATGCACCTACTGAAATTAGAACTGATATTTCTAATCTACCTAATGATGTTCCTAATCCATAGTATGTAGAATAACTGCAACTACCCAGACATCAGTAATAGGATCTATATGCCCTTCAGTGTGCCAATAAGGTATACGGAAACACTTATTCTGCACTTCATTCAAATCTATTATAATAATTTCATCAGATAATAAAGAACATCGAAAGGTACCTACTGATGATGACAATGACAAACCAATATCATAAAAATCTTCAACTCTACAAAACTCTTTAACCGCTAAATGATAATGATCACGCAAGAAAATGATGCTCTGAACAAGACAAATCTTTGAATTTTTTAATATTATTGTATTATCCCGATCCTTTACTGATAGACGAAATTTTCCTGTGTCTAAGATCTGAAACTGGCGACTATCTAAGGGAACATTAAAAACTGTAGGACTAACCCAAGGTCTACCGGAATGTATGACTTTATTGTGATCATTCACAATTTTTTGTGTGATTTGTAAATTTTCATGTCGCCTATTTACAATCTGTTGCAAATGTTGATGAGGTTTACGGCAAGCTTTGCGGAAATACATCATATTGTTTTCGTATGGAAACATAGACAATTCATTTAATGAACCAAAACGTCTAACGTCATCTACGAGATGTAAAAGGCAATGAGTAATGTATGAGAGAAATTCTGGACCATATATATCTTCTGCTCTATTTACAAAAATGTTTAATGCTGTAGATGCAAAATCAAGACGGTCTTCTGATAAGGAAGAACTAAGCAAAACTCGAATTGCGGAATGTAATAAAAGAAAATGTTTGTATGCAGTAGGATTTATAAGTCCGTAATAAATAACTGGGGCAGTATATAGAAGAAGTTGACGATTTTCCGTGGCCTTAAACCCTCCATATTTTTTCATTAATTGCGGTTTTCGTGAAAATTCCTTAGGGATGTAATTCGCAACTTGTTGTAGACGTGCAGTCATAATTTCAAGTGATCTAGCAGAAAGTTTTAAAGTTGGATTATATTTTCCATCGACGAGAACACTATTTATTTTGGGAACAACACCAAGACATACAGTATGCATGTAATCGAAAACCGTTTGAGTTACCAATCCCATCTCTAAAGGAAGCAGAGCAGATTCTGACTCAGTATGATGTTCTCCATCAATGTTATTTCTGTATTCTTCGTCTGTACGGGGCCTATGCTGAATACCACGATAAGCTACGCATCCACGACGAAGCCAATTTCCCCGAATCCAACATTTTGAACACGGAAATAGACTACCGTGACCTTTATGACCCAAAACAAAAGCTCGCGCAGGAGAATCAGCTATGAAACATCTTAATTGAACTATTTTTAGTTGATTACGGAAAGCAATTCCTCCACGATTTAATACATCTCGAACTTCATCTACAAAATTCTGAAATAATTCTTTCGCGCTATTTGGTTTCGATGTACCTCGCCAAAGACCTACAATTTCACTTCGCGGAATATTTGCAATTCTAATTTGTATCGGCCACATTTGAATTTTGCCCTGCCCATCTAATGTCGCACTATCTGTACTAAAGTCTATCATTAAAGTGTCAAGTGGAATCAGATCCGGAGAAGTTTGCTCAAGAATGGAAAGAATTCCTGCCTCAAACCCTAAATGAAGATATTCACCTCCTGCAATGTTAAATGTGAGATGCGTGATCCGTGGAGTTTTTAAAAGCGTTCTACAATCTTTTGGCAATGTGGATAAACAGGGATGTGTTCGAACTACCTGTAAAACAGCATTTGCTTGCGCATGAGACATATTACTACGTACGAAGACTTCAGCAAGGCGTTCTTGAAAATTATCGCGAGTATTTTGAGGCTCAGTATCTAATGCATCATCACTATCTGAAGTAGATTTAGCAGCATCTGAAGAACTTGATGCCTCATCAAACTGCATATCATCAGATGATGCATTAGAATAAAATGCAATTTCCTCATTTCCTGGCTGACTAGATTCCGCAAGAATTTGACCTTCATCAACAAAGTCTGAATCGACTCTAGCACTGGCAATCTTTAAATTCTCCTGTAGAAATTCATTACGCGCATCTCTTTCTAATTTTTCTAAACGACGACGATGAACTGTAGATAATAAATGAAAAGGCTTGCGACTGCGCCTTTTCGCTAAACGAAACATATTGAAATAAAATATAAACGGAAGAAACGAATAAAAATGATAATGAGATGAAAAAAATGAAAAAGTTGAAATAAAGAAAGACAAAAGTTTGTAATCTACTTAAAATTTAAAAATATGTAACTTAAAAAGAAAAATACTATACTATACAAATTACACAAACCTCGTCCCTTATTTATTGTAAGTAATATCTCAGCCAGCAATCTAACCTGTGAATTAAGAAAACAAATAAATAGTGTATGGTATTGTATAAAATGATTGAAAATACATAGAAATAAACATATTTGTGTGCTAGTGTATTTGGAGACCACAGCTGGCTAGAAAAATTGAAAAATATATTACTATTAAATAATATTAATAATAATAGAGGGGGGGAAATGGCAGACGGGAAGGATAAGCAGGATTGTGAATCGTGAAGGAAAGTGGGAAAGAAGTATGTGAAAGGCGGAGGAAGGCGGAAAAAATGAGGGAAAAGAATGACGGGATAGTGAGTGAAGCGAGGAAATGAAGGACAAGTGGAGGAGGGCAGAGAGAAGAAGTTATACAGGAAAGAAAATTCAAATAAGATTGACGTGAACAAGGATGAGGATAACGTAGAAGAAGAGATGAAAAGCAGTAGCACGGGAGAATGATTAGGAGGAGGTAGGATGGAAAAGAAGGAAAGAAAGAAAGGAAAAAGAAGGAAGGAAGGAAGGGAAGGAAAAAGGGCTTTCCAATTTTCTTTTGGATGGGGGATAAGGGAAGTCGAACGGTAAGAGTAGAGTAATGAGCGTGTGCTAGTCAGCGACGGATTAACACTAGAGGCAAACATAGGCATTTGCCTAGGGCGGCAAATTGGAGGGGGCGGCAAATTTTCGAAGACAGAAAATTTTCGAAAAAAAGTAAAAAAAATAAAGAAAGTAAAAAAAAGGAGTGTAAAATCCTATCTGCAAACCTCCTCGTGGTGCACTTTAGGGTCGTGAAAATATTTAAAAATATATTACGTTTTCACCAGCTAATGCAGGGGTAACAGAAAATTGTTGATATTTTGTACTAAATTTTTTTTTTTTTGCTTTTAGGGGCGGCAAAATGTACGCTGCCTAGGGGCGGCAAAATGTTTAATCTGTCGCTGGTGCTAGTGTAAATGTTCGTGATTTTGTGCAATGTACTGAGCTCAGGACCGGAGGAACGCTAAACCCCAACACTTGTGCACTTCAAATGTCCCCTGCGGGAAGATAGATCGGATGAGTGTGAGGAGACACGGATGGAAGTAGGGAAGAGATGCAGAGATAGATGGAGATAGGAGTAACGATAACGAGAGAACACGTGATAAGAAGAACAAGAAGGCTAGGTGATAGGAGGCGTGAATAACAGAGGAAAGAGGAAAGGAAGGAAAAGAGTGACTGGAACAGAAAGACACGGAAGGAAGAAGAAGGAAGAGAGAGGATGGAAAGGGAGTGTCAGAGAAAGGAGGACGAGTAGAAGAGAAAGAAAGAAAGAAAGAAGAGAGAGAAAGAAAGTAACGGTAGAGAAAGAAGAGAAGAAGAAGAGGAGTAAGGACGGTGGATGGAGAAGGATGGTGACAGGAGGGGACTGAAGAAGAGAAAAAAAACGTATTGATGGAGAAAGGAGAGAAGAAAAGGAGGAAAGGCGGTAGATGGAGAAAGAAAGCGATAGTGGACTAGAGAGCGTGAGAGAGAGACGAGGAAAGAGAGGAAAAGGAGAGCAGAGAGAAGGGAGAACGATTCGGAAGGAGGAAGAAGGAGAAGAGAGGATGGAAAAGGAACGTGGAGAGGAACGAGGAGGACAAGGAGAAGAGAGAAAAGAGGGAAAAAACGTACTAATGGCAGATTCTTTGGTCAATTTGCAAACGATAAAAAAATTATTTTTTTATATTATTTTTAATATTTTTATTATTTTTTTGTTTTTATTTATTTTTTACAAAATTACAATATTTGTTAATCCTTGTTAATCTTTTTGTTAATAGCAATATATAAAATTTCACAATGTCTTATGGAGACGGAGACATCTCGGGAAAATCTGGATCCCAAAAACCTGTTAAGAAAAAAAGATTACATTGTATTTTATATAATAAATGTATTATATGTATATATGTATATATATGAAATAATGAGAAACGTAAAATATATATGAGTACCTTCTGGTGTTCGCGGTCTTTCGTACTTGTGCCGATGCCGCGAACATTGATTTCTTCGCTTTTGCAATTCCTCTTCAGATAGGGTTAAAGCCTTGTAATACTAAAAATTATATATAACAATTAATACTTTCTTATCAAGAAATATATTTTATTGTAATATTAATATATTAATGGTGTAATATTAATATAATATTACTTTTTCGCATTGCCAGCAATCCCAGCCATTCAGTTTTGCTCTATCAGCTTTGCAACGGATATTAATCCGCTTTGGAATCTTTTCTTTTCTCTTTTGCAATCTGTAAATAATATTTTCATTAGATACATATATATATATATATATATATTGTAACGTCCGTGTTATACTACGATCCCTGAATTTGTCTTCGAACATTGAGTCATCGAGTCTTCTATGAGATCTACGAACGTCGCCTTGTCAAGGCGTTGTCAAGGGTTGTTGATCAACAGCTGTCGTCTTCTGAGTTCGAATTCCGCAACTGTCACGAGCGGATTCGGCTTTCGTTCGATAATTTCCCATTTTCCCTTTATTGTATTTCTTCTATTTAATATCTTTTAATAAAAGTCTTTCGTTCCTCTAAATACGAGTACGATTTCTTTCACGGTTCGCAAGTGAACGACGTTGCGTGTCGCGGCTGATATCAATATATCGCGAAATCGGATCCGCGGACATAACAATAAATATATATATATATATATATATATATATATATATACAGGGTGATTCATTTTAATCTATCACCTCAAATATTTCCGTTTTTATGCATTTTACGAAGAAATGTTTTAGACAAAAGTTATATGGTTTTGAGGGGGACATAAGAAGGTACCATTGGTTTAACTTTGGATAGTCATTTGAAGATCACGTGAAGGTAACCTTCAATTTCTTAAATGGAACCTATTATTTTTTATTACATATTCTTGTAGTTTACCTCGAGAGCTTTCCAAAACACTACAATAAAATATTTTTTCATTAAGTATTTTTCGAGTTATTAAGGCTGCAAATTTGCAGTATTTTGACATAAAATACAAAATATCTTGGGAAATATTCATTTTTCGATTATCATACCTTAATACTTTTATGCACAGAATAATGAGACGAATCAATTGGTGTAAAGAAAACACATAGTTGTTTTAAAGAAAAATTATGTAACTGCTTATTGCAATTTTCATATTTTTTTTAAAAGTAACTATGTGTTTTCTTTACACCAACTGATTTGTCTCATTATTCTGTGCATAAAAGTATTAAGGTATGATAATCGAAAAATGAATATTTCCCAAGATATTTTATAATACAAAATTGACATTTTATGTCAAAATACTGCAAATTTGCAGCCTTAATAACTCGAAAAATACTTAATGAAAAAATATTTTGTTGTAGTGTTTTGGAAAGCTCTCGAGGTAAGCTACAAGAATATGTAATGAAAAATAGTAGGTTCTATTTAAGAAATTGAAGGTTACCTTCACGTGATTCATATGATTATCCAAAGTTAAATCAATGGTACCATCTTATGTCCCCCTCGAAACCATACAACTTTTGTCTGAAACATTTCTTCATAAAATTCATAGAAACGGAAATATTTTGGGTGATAGATTAAAATGAATCACCCTGTATATGTATATATATATATATATATATACAGGGTGATTCATTTTAATCTATCACCCTGACTAATCTATCAGGAAATATTTTGGGTGATAGATTAAAATGAATCACCCTGTATATATATATATATATATATATATATATATGTTACGTCCTCCGGACGTTCTTTCTCGCAAAAGACGTCTCTCGCACACACTCTCACTCACTCGCGGCTCGCGAAATAAATACACTCTCTTATGAAGAAATGATCCTTTATACAATGATGAAATACAATGACTAATGTACACGCGAAAGAAAGAAGATTGCTCTCTGGTCAAGTCACGTCCGTACGAGATGACAGCCAGACCAAAACTGTCATGGAGCCTGAAAACAACCATTGGGCGGTTGTCAATAAACAACACCCCTTAACGATGAAGCTCCACGACACAAGGGATGATATTCAGGGGATGAAAGATCAGGGACGTAACAATATATATATATATATATATATATATACACACAAGGTGATTCATTTTAATTTATCACCCAAAATATTTCCTATTGTAAATTTCTTATATATATATATATATACACACAAGGTGATTCATTTTAATTTATCACCCAAAATATTTCCTATTGTAAATTTCTTATATATATATATAAGAAATTTACAGTAGGAAATATTAAATAAAATATTTACACGTACTGATGTAGAGAACAAACCACTACGAGGCTAAGTAGCCAGTGATGCTATTCTCGCAGGTGGTTTGTTCTCTACATCAGCCAAATCTAAATTTTTATTTAGCTCAGCAGGCAAGCAAAAGCTTTCCTCGAAGACATTCTTTTCACTATTATCTTTTTTTCAGAGCATTATTTGTACTATTATTTCTAAGCAATGATTTATCATCTTCCATTTCTACAATTAAATGCAATTAATAATTATAATAATTAATATATTACTTAAATACGTAATATATTTTAATTTAATTTATTTAATATGTTAAATATATAATAGCTAATATCAGAAATGCTCACAAATGCCACAAAATTAAAATGCAATTAACCCTTAATCCGTATTGGTGGGCGATTTATGTCCGTGTAATTTCTAAAAGTATTATATTTCTACTTCACATATTTGCAAGAACAATATATTTAAGTAAATTATTTTTCAAATTTATTATTCTAGTCTATTTAGAAAGATCAAAGAAGGTGTATGAATTTAAAAAAATTTTTTTAAACACTTTCACTAATTAATAAGATGCATCAAAAATAATTGACCCACCTGTACGGTGTCTATAGGTGCCAAAAATAACAATACGGAGTAAGGGTTAATAATTAATTTTTTACATGAATATATTTTTTAATTAAAAATCATATATATTGTCAGGAAATTTTTAATTTGTGAATATATATATATATATATATATATATATATATGTGTGTGTCATTATAAATAAAAAAGATTTCTGGGTTATTAAAATATCTGAAAGAAAAAGGAACATGCACAGATAGCTCAAAAAATATTTTGCTGAAAAAGTTTTCGGATTTTGATTTGGAATTACAAATAAATTTAACAATAACAATACTTCAAAATATCATCAATATTATTCAGATTAAATGAAGGAATTTGCACAAACTTTAAAGGCATCTGCCGAAACTTTAAACAAATTGTTACACTGTAAAAAAAAAGTTAATCTAACAGATAATGTTGTTCAATACGCCTAACAAAATATTTATTTAAATGAAGTAAAAATATATTTAAATCAATAAAATATGCTATCTACAATTAAGTAGGTACTTTATCAATTCAAATATATTTTTGCTTTATTTAAATAAATATTTTGTTGTGCGTATTGAACTAAATTATCTGTTAGATTGACTATTTTTTTTAGAGTGTACTATTTGCGAAAAATTATATAACAGTAGTATTAAAATTAGATCCATAACTTTTGTGATGTGCTCCGGTAAATTTTAATACTTTTTAAAAAACTAGGGTGTATATTTATTCCAAAACAAATAAAAACATCATTTAAACATGTACAAATAATACAAATGTTTATACATATAATTATGAACCTATGACATATGATAAAATTATGTAGGAATGTAATTGCTGAAGAAAAAAATTTCAAAAATACACAAAAAAAATTCAAGAAAACAAACAATTTCATGACATAATGAAGTTATATACTGTAAATTTTTAATAGAAGTTTTATATAGAAATAGTATAAAATCTAGTTTAAATATGTTAATTGTTTAAAAGGGATCAATACTGTAACGGCTTAAAAAAGTAACCTTTTTTTGTAACATCCATAAAGCAGATAGATAAATAATGTTTTTGCATTGAATTGTTATTCTTTAAATTATTAAAAAATATTTTTTATTTGATTAAATACATTTTTATTTTAATATAAAATGTGTCTGTAGTAGACTCTGCATTATTTATCGGTTTTATTGCATCTGGGATCCTTAAAAGTCATTTGAAATTAAAAAACCCAAGATTTTTTTGAAGTATGTAAATGTAGTTTCAGTTTAGCGTACAGATTTCTTTTTACAATTAAAATTTCCTATTTTTATGATTTGTACGATAAAAAACGGTTTTCTTTTTTTGAAAAATTTTAAAATTTTATTTAAAAATGCACCATTTTACGAATAATGAAGACATTAAAATTTCTGTACGCTTAACTAAAACTAATATATTTATATATTTCAAAAAAAATTTGACTTTTTAAATTTTAGATGACTTTTAAGGACTCCACGTGCAAGGCCGATAGATAATACAGAGTCTACTACAAATACATTTTATATTAAAATAAAAATGTATTTAACTAAATAAAAAAATATATAGAAATATATAGAATAAATATATAGATAAAATATATATAAAATATATAGAAAATTGAAAAAAAACCGCGATCTCTTTCTCTCGAATGATTTCTAATCATCATTAAATAAAAAAGAAATTATCAATTTAATTGATACACGATGTTAGATATTCACTGCAGATATTTGATAAATTAAAATAATATGTAAAAAGTATAGAATTTAACAACGAGTTGGCGCGCCTTTGTGCGCAGGCCTTTAGTTAGTCGCGCCGACGTCTCGTTGCTAAGTTACGAAAATCGAGCCAAATGCAACAATTCCCATCTTTCTATATTATTTAACAAATTATTTAATTATTGTATAATACCAAAAGAACGCGACAAATATATTGCGATAAGAAATATAACATATAATATTAATAAAATATATAGAAACTTGAAAATAAAATACCGCGAATCTCTTTCTCTCGAATGATTTCTAATCATCATAAAATAAAAAAGAAATTATCAATTTAATTGTTACATGCTGTTAGGTACTCACTGCGGATATTTGATAAATCAAAATAATGATGTAGAAAGTATGGAATTCCTCGAGATAACTTCGCAAATATCGGAGGCACAAAATACACGTCCGTATGGGCTCACGTTATCGCAGAGAAAGAGCGAAAAACAAAATCGCCGCGCTAGGAGGATCTCGTTAAGTCACTGCACACATCATGCGCGACTTAAGGCGCCAGCGTAGTTAACCAATCAGAAGATCCTAGTCCAAAACTAGCTAATTGGCAATGTGGATTGGTAGCATATATTGTCCAACCGTGCTTGCGTTGGTTGCGCGCGTAAAAATGGAGCTTTGATACAATTCAGACACTCCTATAATATTAT